TATATATATATACTCTATATATATACTCTATATATATATACTCTATATATATATACGCTATTCATATACTCTAAATATTGATATGCTATATATTAAAAAAAAACACTCTATACATACTCTTTACATATACTCTATATATACATACTCTATATATACTCTATATATACTCTATAGGTACTCTATAGATACTGTATATATATATACTGTATATATATTTACTGTATATAGACATATTCTCTATATATTTACATACTCTACATATACTCTATATATAGATACACTCTACATATATAAATACTCTATATATATATATACACTCTATATATATACTCTATTTTTTACTGTATATTATACTCTATATATACTCTATATATACTATATTTGTATACTCTATATATATATTCTATACATACTGTATATACACTCAATAAATACTCTATATATATATATAGTTTATATGTATATACTCTATATATATATACTCTATATATATATACACTCTATTTCTATACTTTATATATACTCTATTTTTATACTCTATATATACTATTTATATTCGATAAATTCTCTATAAATTTTCTATAAATACTCTATATATATATATACTCTATAAATACTCTATACATACTCTATATATATATATATTCTATATATACTCTATATGTACTCTACACATGGAAATATATATATATGCTATTATATATATATACATGCGAAAAGCGGACTCACTGTTTTGTGCCACTTCGAATGGTCCACTGGGGCTGCGGAGTACACATGCATGCACTGTGGTGACATGTTTTACCACAAGTCATACAGGCAGCCAAACCTAGCATATGGTGCGTATTTTGCTTGCACCCTCCTTAAAATATGGCGCCTTACAGTGCAACTTCATTTGAATTATTTTCTGTACGTTCTGCATTGCGTATCTTGCGTATTGCGTATCTTGCGTATTGGGCTCGGTTACGCATCTTTCGGTCCTAAGACCACATTGAAACACTTTGTACACGGTTTGAATTTCTTCACATCTGTGCTATTACTCAACGTAGGACATTGGTCCGTTGAGTGCACTCTTTCTCCATACTTTGTGAGGTAGTACACCTCGTACTTGGCCTTCTTCTTGCTTTTGCATGGCCACAGTACTATGTCTCTGTACAGACAGCAAAGTGCCGTCCCTCCTACGCAAACACTCACTAGGTTGAAAGTCAAGCTGATGAGAAGCAACAGCATTAACGTTTCAATCCCGGTGTTTCCCGGCATGATGGCTTTGTCGCCCCACAACACAGGTGTGTCCCCCAAGGTTTCCATTTCGTTTCACCCCGGAAGCGTGTTGTCGAACGCTAAGCTTTGAGCCGGTTTGCGGTTTCCATCGTTTGTTTTCGTTTTCATTCACAGAACCTATTGTTCTCATGTTTGTTTTCGACACGTGTTTGTCCAGTCCATCCTCAGTCAGGTCCACGAGTCCTATCAACTCGCATCCGTTTCGTACCAGTTCACCTGTCGCGAGGTGTTTTGTGAGGATGTCTGCGGGATTCTTTGTTCCGTCGATTTTACCTATGATCACTTGTTTTGTTTTCACCAACTCTTGTATGTAAAGGTGTCCTACTGCTATGTGTCTCATCTTTCCTACACCTATTTTCTTTCCAGCTTGTATGGCTGCTGACGAGTCACACCAAATCCTCGGTGTGTCCAGTTTCATTCCAAAATCCTTTTCAGCTAAGTTTCGCACAAATACTGCAGGTTGAGCACAGTGCGTCAGGGACCTTATTTCAGCTTCCCCTGAGCTTGTCGCTGGCGTTCCTGGTTGCGTGTGCGATGACGATTCGACGAGTGTTCCTCCTACGAAAATCGCCTCACCGCTTGTGGAACGTCTGCTTTCTTGGTCTCCTGCCCAGTCACTGTCACAGTAGCAGTGCATCGGGATTCCTTCTCGGATGTCGATCCCCTCTGTCAACTTTGTCACATGCCCATAGTTCGTGGTTCCTCGGAGATACCTTCCCAGGACTTTAAGGTTGGCCATGTCGCATTCCCTTGGTTCCCGAATGCGTTTTGCCAATTCCTTGGTACTGAACTTTATGTCTGGTCTGTCCTGAGATAAGTAAATTGCGCTTCCCACACAACTGGCATATATCGCTTTCTGTTTCTCGTCCAACAGTTTGTCCTGTGTCAGGTCAAGTTTCTTTCCTGGCACTGGTCCAGGCTTGGCATTTTCCAAACCCAGTTGTTTCAGTATCACCTCTACATGTTTCGCGTTTGGTTTCGTGATCACGGCTTCTTCGACATTGATCTTGGTCCTTCCAAGAAACTCTGAAGTTGTTTTACTTCCTACAAGCGGGTATTCCATCTCTCCCATTTTCAGCTTGCAACCGCTCTTTGGAAATTGAATCATCAGCAAATCATTCAAAACTTTCTCGGGTCCACAAATGTCGAAATCATCTATGTGATGAATCAGCACTGTTCCTGTTTTCTCACATTTGTACACACATCCATCGATTGCTCCTCGCTGAAACTCATATTGTTCTGGTGGTAACTCTTTGGTGATTATTTCTTCTAATCTGTCTCTGTACTGTGCTGCTGCTGACTGACGTCCGTACAAGTTGCCATCCACTTGCCACAGGATATGTTCCTTAGGAACGTCCTTGAGTTCTTCTTGAACTTCCTTGGGCTGCAACAAGTACCAATCGTCGTAGTCTTCCAGCCATTCCTTAGGTGGTTTCATCATCACAGGTTGTCCTGTCTTGTCACCTTGGTCATTGGCAATCAGAAACGCTGATGTGAGATCTGCTTTCACTCGTGGTAGTCCTGTTGCCATACTGTAGACTTCCAACAGTTTTCTGGAACATCCATGTGGTGTCGGACAAAAATTGCTTGGTGCTTCCGACGTATTTCTGTCATTGTCCTGTCCCTTTCGTTTGAAGTCCTGACATGTCAACCTTGACTTTGCAATTCCTTCACTAACTTTGTCTACCCATTTATGACCAAACACTGTTATTTCCTTTGGAATCAATCTTCCGTCTCTCGGTGTAAATGCTCCAAAGTCCTCGTTCAACTTCTTGATCTCCATCTTTCGAGCTTTCTTTTGTTCTTCTTCTGCTGCTCCAATTTGGTCCAGGTAGTCCATGATGTTTGCCACCATTTCACTCTGGAAGTACTCCTTTCTCTCATCTAGCCACTTCTGAAACCATACATGGTCCTTGTTCACTGGCATATGGTATTTCTTCCTCATTTCTTCCGCATCTGGAACTTCACCGTTACTGACTCCAGAAACCATGTCCTGAGACGCTGTGCCCGCTGCACTCATGTTGTCATCTGTTGGTGTGTCTATGCGGTACAGTTCAGGTTGTCCTGGATTCATTCCGGTGTCGCCCGGTACGGCACTAGAGGTTGTACCCTCTGCCAGTCGTGGCTTCTTGGAATCCTTTTCTTCAATCTCGATCCTCTCTCCTTCATCGTCCACCTGCATCTCTGGTGCTTTGTCTTCCTTCTTTGTGCTCTTCTGTGCTTTCCCTCCTTTCGGTGTACTTGGAGCTGATCTTGGTGCATTCCGCAATGGTGGTACAATAGGTTGTGGTATGTGAACCACCTTGGCTTTCGCCATTGCTTCTAGTCTGTCATCAAAGATCGGCTCGTTCTCTTGTTTCGATTTGTCCTCGAAATCATAGGTTTCCTGTCCTTCGATTTCTGGTGCCACAATTGCTTTCACCTCCGATGAGATTGCTTCCGGCTTTGTTTTCTCGATTCCCAACACTGTATTCCATGGGACTCCTCTCGCAACTTCCATCACAGCATCTTGGAACTGTGATCCAACTGGCAATCTTCGGACTGTTCTGAAACTAATAGCTCCGGCACTTGTCAACATCATGTGCTCATCTGAATTTTCTTTCTTTCCTGCATAGATTCCTTTTGTCCATCGAGGTGCAGACTTGTCTTTCACCTTTGGAAATTTTCCCATCACTGTCTCTCCAAATGGTATCAACTCACCCACGTAGTCTCTGCCCTTTATCACACGAAACGCTGTGGTCTTGCTCTTGTTGACATGAAACCTTGCTAAAGTCCATGCGCTGTGACGCACGATCCATGGGAACACGTAGTGCTCGGTTCCAATTTTCGTTGCATAGCTTTCAGACAACTCACACAGCCATGTGCGAATCTTTCCAGCTATCAGTCCATTCACCATTTCTCCATCTGCAAGAGACTGTGAGCTATACCGTGGTGATTTCCGAATCTCTACTCTTTCCGGCATGAGATCCCTCACTCTGTCAAACAACTTGTTCATGGAATTTTCCTGATCTATTTGTATTGTCACTTTGTTCCATCCCAGATCTCTGATCCAAGCTGCCAACGCATCCCTTGAGTAGTACCCTCCTCCTTTGGATGGGACCACCATGGCGAAGGGATACTGACTGTCCTTGCAAATTGCCGTCAGCACTGTGATCAGTCCTTTCTGCTTCTTTCCTTCACTTCTATTCACCATCTCACCATCCACACTGAAGAACATGTAGTCGGAGTAGATGATGTGTTCCTTCTTGTCTTCCTTGCTTCTTCTGTGAGGTGCATCTCGTCCTTGTCCTTTGATGCAAGTTTCACACCAAGGTTCGAAATTTGCATGATGAAGCCTGTGCTCCTCACGCTGTTGTGCACTCGGTGCCTTTGGTACATCTACCTCCTGTGCTTGTTCTTTCACTTCTCCTTCTTCATGAAGCTGTCTTTGCTCTCGAAACACTTCACGTTCGGCTTGGTCTTGATCAATTGGATCTGGTTGTACTCGATCTTCTACGTACACCCAATCCAAAAAGAACTCATCCATGTCTTGGTCTGGGTCACGTACTCCTTCAACTTTCTTTGCTTCTTCAATCTCTGCATCCTTCTTTTCAGGAATTTCAGTCTCTGGCTTCAATCTAAACCACGATTCTCCCAGCCATTCTCTGCCCATGTTCTTGGCAGATGTCTGTTTTCTTGTCCACAAACTCTGGTCTTCCACATGCGATCCATCTTCGGAGAAATAGATCTTGGTAAGTCGACCAGGTAGTAGTCGATTGATTGGAACAGGAAGATCAGCCATTCGCTCTGGGCTGAATAGTTGGAATCGTGCTGTGTTGTGCACACGAACCACGAATTCTCCTTCCTCATTGGTCTCCATTCTCCAGGTATCAGGTTCCTTTTCTTCTTCAAACCTGACTCCTTTGACTGGTGCTATTCTTTGTGTTCTCAAATTTCCGTTTCCTGAACTTGACGAACTTTGTTGATCATGTTTCACTTTCAAATACCATCTCTTTCCATGCAATTCCAATGGAATCCTTTCATTCTGGTTCGTAACCAAATGACAGTTGTTCTTTTCAAAATGCACGGCATGACCCTTTTCCACCATGTTGAAAACTGACAGCAAACTCTCTGCTGAGTCAGTCACAGTCATGTCCATCAGTCCTTTTAAGTTCCCGACTTCAATTTTGGGAGATTGCTTTCCATATATTTTGAGTGGGTTCCCTTGAACACCAAATAAAGGTTTTCCTTTTGTGGAATCAACCGGTCCAACAAAATCCCCATACTTGGCAACGTTTTCACATGCTCCTGAGTCAACCAAAAGATATCTGAATTCATCGCTCTCAGACAATGCACTGACCTGAGCATCCCTGACAGTGAAACAGTATCGGTCATGTTCACCAAAATTGATGTTTGAAACCGATCCAACTCCGTTTCCACTGTTTGGGTTCTGTTTCGTTTGGTTGTTGTTGCCTTCGGTCTTGTTGGCGGTATTCCCCGTGGTGGTTGTGGTTTCATCCACAGATGATACCTTCCACCAACAGTTCTTTGCGACATGTCCGTACTTCTGGCATACGTGACATTTCTTTCCGGCATCAGGATTATTCACCTGACTTCCTTTGCCACCTTGTTTTCCATCACCTTTTCCTTTACCTGTACCCTTGTTTTCGTGTCCTTTTCCTTTTCCTTTGTCTTCTTTACCTTTGCCTTTTGCTCCACCTTTGCTACCTTTGTCGTTGTTCCAAGAACCTTTGTGTTTGCTCTTTCCTTTTCCTTTGTCATCTTTTCCTTTTCCTTTGACCGCACCGATGTCCATGGGTGCTGGTCCTCCGTCATCAACCTTGTTTGCCGCCTTAGTGATTCCAAACTGGGATCCTTGCGGTCTCTTCCAAACGTTCTTGTTGATGAGGTACTGCTCGATGTAGTCTCGAATCTTCGCGTAAGTGCCCAACGCGTCGCTGTGCATAAAGATGCTTTGCTGAAGCTCTGGAGGTGCTACATGCGCTAAGATTGAGACCTTTTCCTCTTCTGAGAAAACACTCTTGGAGGTTCGTTCAAACTCCCTTAGTTCTGATTCCCACTGATGGAGTGCAGTGCTCCAATTGTTCATGTCTTTTGGGAAATTGGGGTTACTCAAATGTCTTCTCCAAACCCATGCTTTGGTTCTGTACGATGGCTCAGACAGTCTGACCAGTCTGCGCCAAACCTCAAATCCATTGGCTGTGTGCAGTCCCTGACCCACTACATTCATCGTAGGCTCCGGACAGTACTGTACGAGAAACGTATACATCGCCTTGGCCAACAAATCCTCTTCAGGGGTTTGCATAGCATCATCCAAGGGATCCTTACTTTCCCCAAACTTTTCCAACATTTCAGGGTATTTGGGGTGAACAGTGGAACTCCATGCTACGAACACATGTTTAAACTTTTCCCATCCTTCTCTTTTACCATCCCAAACTTGCGGCTTTGGGACGTTGCTAGGGTGAATCAGTTTTGTCATTTCTACCCCAGCTGGTTGTGTGCTGCTTGCCTGTGCTTGCTGAGCCTGGGCAAGTTGTGTTGTTTGCTGTGCCAGCGCCTGTGTCCTTTGCGCTAGCTCCGTTTCAGTCCGGGTCAATTTGTCCGTCTGTTCTTGCAGTCTCGTTTCAGTTTCGTTCAACCGTCTTGCTTGACTTTCAAAACTTTGGTTCGCACGTTGCAAACCTTCCACCAATTGGTTTTGCTGCGCTTGCATTTGCGCGAGCTGTGCTTGCAACTGTTCTACCGTTGCCATCTTTACAGGCTATGGTACACGAGGCTATTTACACTTCTAGTGTACAGATGCCCCTATTGGGCAGGCAAGGGGTACCTACTGGAACCTACCGTTCCAGCGGTATTACCCGCCTCGATGCCAACCTCTGTGCCAGCCTAGGTGATACCCTTCTGACCACCTGCGCCCGGCCCAAGCCCTCGACTGGTCGCTTCCCCAGTTGCTACTCCAGGTACTCCTCGACCAGCTTGTAGAGCTACTGGAAGCTGTCTCGCTCCAGTTGCTTCCACGGTCCTCCAACTCCTCACGCTGGTAGTCCCGCTCTTCACGGTCCTCCAACTCCTCACGCTGGTAGTCCCGTCCTTCTTCTCGACCTTCTTGGTTTCTTTCGCGCGACCTTTCCTCTGAGGCTTTCTGGCTCCTCAGCTCTAGGTCCTGAACAGCTCGGGCGACTTCGGAGACACCCACTGAGCTGCTACTTGCCGCTGAAGACGCTTGCTCGGTCTTCGGCCTTTCCTCTTCTTCGGGCGAGTCGTCGACCTCCTCCTTGAAGTTCCCGAACTCGTCCACAGAGTACCACACACTAGTTGCCGCGTGTGTTTCTTCTTCTTCTCCTACTTCTTCTTCTCCACGCTGCTCAGGCGGTGGCAGTGTGGTTGGCACGACTTGTGCCCTAGGTGCAACGAGTCCTTGTGCTACTCGTCGACCTCCTTCTTCCTGGGCGAAGGACTTTCTCGCCTTTCCACCCGGTGTAGACTGTACGACTTTGGCGAGGCTCGGGTAGTCCTTCTCGAACTTCCCCCACACGCGCTTGGTCGCTCCTCCTGCTTTGCTGTGTGTTGGCAGACCACCAACCACAGTCCTGTTCACGTCCAGAAACTCTGGTACTTCTTGTTCTGGAACGGCCTGAAGTCTCAAGCCTTCCACGTAGTCCAGCTCGTTGTGGTCCGGCCTGTTGGTCGTACCGCTGGCTGCTTCCACAGTGGTGTTCAGCAAGCCTTCTGCACGTCTTGCTGCCCCACGTAGTATCCGCCGCTCTATGGCTCGGGCGGACCTGGTTCTCTCTTGGGCTTTTCCTTGGCCCTTTGCTTTTCCCTTCCCCGTCTTGCCGGGGATTTGTCCTCTCGTCGGAGAGGTCCAGGTGCTGCTCCACACGCAGCTACCAGTCTTCTTCTCCTCGAACTCAACGAGGCGCAAACGCTGCTACAAGCACAGCTGTTTGCGGTGTTACCCGCCTCTTACGGGCGGTGTAAACCGTCTGCGGATGCCGGCCCTGATCGGTCAGGAACCAGCTCCGCTACCATGCGAAAAGCGGACTCACTGTTTTGTGCCACTTCGAATGGTCCACTGGGGCTGCGGAGTACACATGCATGCACTGTGGTGACATGTTTTACCACAAGTCATACAGGCAGCCAAACCTAGCATATGGTGCGTATTTTGCTTGCAATACACTCTATATATACTCTATATGTACTCTACATACGGATATATGTATATATACTATTTTTACTATAGATACATGTATATATAATAGATATGGATATATATATATACTATATTATATATATATACTCCATATATATATATAATCTATATATACTCTCTGTATATAGTCTATTTTGTGTTCTACATATGGATATATATATATATATATTTATATATACTTATTATATATATATACTTATTATATATATATACTGTATATATATATACTCTGTATATATATATATACTCTGTATATTATAGATACAGTAAATATATATACACATATACTCTATATATGCTCTATTTACAGTCCTTATACAGTCTATATACAGCTCATAGATGATCACCCAATCCTCACCCCATCCCAGGGGGTGCGGGGATGATCCTTACCCCTATATATATATACATACATACATATATACACATATACCGTATACCCCTATATACCCCCATTTACACCTATATACCGTTGGACCTGCAGGCCAACCCCCATGACTCTCGGCAGCTTCTGAACTTTGGGGCCATGAAAAAGACAGCGGTGCTGTTGCAGGCACATGCCTGTTATAGTGTTACAAGTGTACACCATCGGATGCCCAAAACCGATTTTCAAAATCATCAGCACAACATTTAGCAACCTCTACCTCAAAAAATGCCAAGGAGTAGTATTATGTAGGTGTGTGTGTGTGTATATGATGCAGGCCTCCCTGGCCCCCCCTCCCCCCAATGAGTATGGGTCTGGGAAACACTGGAGGGTATTTCTATAATACTATAAATGTCCACCATTTTGATCTATTTTCCAGCCATCCTTAAAATGTCCCACGGACCATTCACGGCCTCAAGACATGTGAATTTGAGCCGCGACGCGTCTTCCGTGCCGCCCACCTCCAGTCAACATCCACCAGAAATCGGGACTTCGATGGGTTGTTGTTGAAAATGGTGGATTCTGATGGTGATTCTTGCGATGTTCATAGCGAGCATGGATGAACATGGTGATTTTGAGAAGAAAAAACATGTGGAAACTAGAAATGTTTTTCGATTATTGGGGATAGTTGGCCTTCGGACAAATAGGTATGTTGTAGTTATATCATATATCTGTGACGATGGACTTTGGCCAGTTAAAAAAGGGGTGGCTCACCAACGAAAACAGCGTTTAACCACCAATATATATATAATTATATATATATAATTATATATATAATTATATATATATATAGAATCGAAAACGTAAATCCATCTATATAACAAGATGGGTGTTGGTCATGTCACTCTGACTACAACATATGCTGAAACGCGACCAAATAGATTTCGGAAATGAACCAAAATAATACAGAAAACCCAATGCCAGACAGCACCCTTTTGAGGATGTTTTATACCACCTACATGTCTGAAAGTGGTGGTAGCTCATTGTAGTTTATTGATGTTGACTATGGGGATCTATGGGGTTTACCATGGTTTACCATGGTTTACCACATTGCCCACTTCAATGGTTTCGGCTTTGCCCGCAGGCAGACGAGAAAGGCCTCGCGCTGAAGCTTTGGGGAAATCTCCTCGGAGGTGAGGAGGAAAATCACCGGGAGATTCTGTTCATTCCAAAAATCAATGGTTGCTCCAACCCTTTTTTTGTGAACAAACGAAAACAAAACAGGGAAAACATATGAGAAAATTTTGTCTTTGTGCATCTTGACCCAGCCAATTTACCCGGTATCTTGAGGCGTTGAGAGCAATCATTTAGGATCAGAAACTGACCAATCCTGGGGCAATCATTTGCAGTCATGGCCAACTTGATTTCTTGGTCTAGAACATGCGATGTCAGAATTTTGCCCAAGCATTGGCCATTTTTCAAGGGGAGGTGCTGGAACTCATCATATTATGAAGGAAATCAAAAATATCAAAATGTAGCTCTGAATTTCCATCTATTGCTTTGTCCCCTCTGGGTAGACCAGCCCCAAACTATCCCAAACTCCAACTTCCAAAGGCAATTTCCCCAAACTGCCACCGGATACCGCCGCGTCCTCCATCTTCCAACGGTTGATCAGCCTCGTCCTCCACAGTCAAATCCCGTGTAAAGTCAAGAAGAGTTCTTTTCAGTGGACGACCTTTTCTGCCGATGGTTCAAGGGTGGGCATTTACCCCAAATGGCTGCGCTGGCTCTTGTGAAAAGAGCTCATTGCACTTTGACAGCTAAGCACTGAGTGCGGCTTGGCTTGACGGTTGGACCTCAGCTGCCGTCTTTGCAACATGTATTTACCATCTGGTAATCAATCAACCGAGCTTTCGCTACTGTCTGGTGTACTTTTTCTAGCTCTCCCAACTCGAGACCCGAAGGGCGACCCCTGGAGCCATCATGCCTATAACAATGATGTGCGCACTGTGCGCACTTCTATTGTTTCACCCGCTCCGGAACTGTTACTATTTTCATCTGTCATTTACTGTTTTCATATGCCAACTGCCGTCGCTTCCTCTATGCTTGACATGATGATGTGAAGACTTGCTACGACCATTGGTCCGTAATTCGGAAGTTTGAGAACTAAGCTTCCTTTCAAATATGCTCCAGACTCCAGACTAATTAATTAGAGGATGATGATGTGCTACACGTGGCAAACTTGGGTAAGTTACACAAGAAGTTGCTGCATCTGGTTCAGTTGGTGGAAACATCATTCTTTTATTAAAAATATGAACAGGCACCATACAATGAAAGTTCGGGGCAAGCAAGCAGCTGAATCCAGATTCACACTGGTGACCATCACGGCTGCACCGACCTACCACCTCCAGAATAGGTGCTAACATTGAGTCCTGGTACAGTGGATAATCAAAATGTCCTTTTTCGGGAAAATGAAGATGTTGGTGCTTCCTTGACAAACTAACTGGACAGTCTGGACACCTATGTGGCTCCAAACAGCTCCCGCAGCCGACAGCCCCAACCAGGCGTCGGTTCGTCACTAAGCGTCTAAGCACTGCTCCCCGCTGCTGAAAGCGTGGGCTTCAATGATCCTGCGGCCGGGCATCGACCATGTCAAGATGAATGGATCATACCTCCCATGACTCCCAGACTTTACACATTGATACCCAAGAGAAATAAACAACCAGCAAAATCATCAAAACAGTGCAACTGCGGAGTCGGTTTGCCATCCTTTTTTCATCTAAGCGAACCCAAAGCTGAACTGACCAACCATCATCGGTTGCACCTGAGCCATGGTCGATCCGCCTCTCGAAAAGGCCTGCGGATAATCCCATGATCGATGGATTGATTGAAGAAAATCAAAAGCTGCAAAGTGCCACTTCAAAAAAAATGGAACATGAGCAATTGGGATCAAGAAAAGCTGGATATATGTCCCAAAGTGATGATCAACACCATCATGCTGGTAGATAATCATTATTCTGTTGATGCTTACCCAAACCATATTTTTGGTGTGCAAAGTCATCCATGACGCAAAGTCTCCATGTGGGCCGGCCTGATCTCCACATCAGCAGGTCTAGCGTCCATTTGGTCCACTTTTCCAAGCCGTTCCCACAGAACTGTGCCGTCCTCGACTCGCTGCAAAAATTCCAAGGTGTTACATGGGCTCCCTGAGTTACTGAGGATCCTTCCCAGGATTTAACATGTGATGTCTGTGTTGTTTCCAATCTCAACTCGTGGATGTCGGCCCAACGTTGACGTGCGAACCTTATCATGCCAATGTGCGTTTTTACGCTTGTCAAGTGACAGCCAAACTGACCTGCCATAATTAATAAGAACAACTGTTATAACAATAAAAGTGGGTAATAATAAGACATAATACTGTATCACGAAAGTATACACTAAAAACAATCCTGATAATAAACATGCTGTACTATAGATATTATAGTAATGATAAAAATGGCAACAACAACAATTATCACAAAAAATAATAATCATCATCATCCACATCCACATCCCCATACCTATCATCATAGCTACTCTTGTGTCATTCTTGGGTTTCCTAAAGTCAAGCCCAAATGGTGCAGGATCAAACTTTTGGGCCATCCCATTTTTGTGGTACCAAAGGACTTGACGCATACAGAAATGACATGCCACATGAACCCGATGGACATCCACACTCTCTGAAACTAGATGGTTTCCAATAAATCCGTTTTAAGGTCATGAAATTGATGGTTTTATCCAATTATTGTCTTTATCCAATAATGGTATTGTCCACAATAACCATCACTATCATATCATTATTTTTTTCATCATCATTGCTATTATCCCCTACAGTACTCTTATCACCACCATTCTGATTTTGATTACATATTCTTACCGTTATCCTAGTTTCCATCATCATCCCCACATATTATTTGGATAATTACAATACGCCCAACTAACATAGCCCTACCATTCATCGGAGGTTGGAAGACTATTCCTCTAGAAACGAGTGATTCTCAGGGTCACCCATACACCACCAAAAGTACCATTTAAATGCCACCGCAACACCAGAAAAATACCTCGCAAACATAGTTAAACATAGCATCAAAAAACATCAGCAACACAGCCAAAAAATGTTGTGTTTCTTTGTATTTACTGTATTTTTTGCAAACGCCTTGCATGGGCACAAACCTCAACGACACCGAAATGCCCAAGTCCAAGATAAAGGCCAACACATAGCCCAAATTAATGGTAGCTGGGGGGATAGTAATTATCCGAGTCATTCTTATCCAAAAAACATATCCAAACTTATCCCCAAACATAATCGCCCATAACATGCTATCGTCACATGTTTTTCCCCAATTCATTGATGATATCACCCAACATTTTTCGATGTTTTGGACATAACTTTCATTACCATTATCCCAAATTGTTAATCCATTGGATGCCTGTTATCAGCCTGTGATCAGCATTAACCATTTATTAACCATTGGATTAACAATTACCATCCAGTAAATTAACATAGACCCTGGCAGTCATCGGGGTTGGAAGATTAGTGAAACCACTAAAAATGGGTGATTTTCAGGGTCAAACTGTTAATTTACCAGAGGGCAATCCTGTTATCAGCCTGTTGTCTCCAATGTCCATCCATCCAGGCTCCAAGGCCTCACTGCTCACCCATCCCTCCATGTGCGACGCGGTGGTGCTGGGACTATCGAGTGCCACCAGCAGCCGCCGACCGCAGCACAGCAGGACCTGCGCCCTGGCGCCAGTTGGGAGCCTCGGTGGCACAAGTGGTCACCAACTTGGGTAGACATGAACTATTGATCATATACCAAGCGACACCTGGTTCGTATGTTACATATGTATAGTATATATATATATGTGTATAGTATATAATGTATAGTATGTGTATATATATATGTATAGTATATATATATATACATGGGTAACCTTAGTTCAACTTAGTTCGTATGTATGTATGTATGTATGTATGTATGTATGTATGTATGTATGTATATATATACACCTGGGTGAACTAAGCATGAACTATTGATCATATATACCAAGTGAGACGCACATCCAAGCATTGATATGAAAGGGAATAAACCAACAAATGAAAGGGAATAAACCAACAAACAATGGAGATAAGACCAATGAACATGGGGATGTCATCAAAGATAATTGAGGATTTGGAGCAAGCAGAGCGAGGACAACAGGTATATTGCAGACGGGAAGCAGAAGGGAATGGATGTAACAAGAAAGCTGAAAAATGTAACAAAACAGAAACCGCACAAACCCATGATGGACCCAACACTATTGGAGTGAGATATCACTGGATCGCTTGACATGATCACCATCAGCGTTTCTTTCAAAATTTGGAAGGGGGATATACCCAGACCTATAATGGACTTCCAGGTCGTATACACGTGACACATAGGATCGGTGAAAGGTAATCTCTGTCGTTCATGCCAGCTGTAAGGAGTCCCCAACTGCCAAAGACATCGCTGCATCCAAGATTCGTGGCAAGCACCTGACTCTGCAAACTCCTTTGTTGCCACGGGTGTGGGGTTGCTGCCCCACATTTTGGGTATGGATAAGTTCTCCCCCACCCAAACAACATGTTTATGAAACAGAAAATGACATTTTGACTCATCCAGAGCAAAACATACGACACAAGGAGCTGTAGAAGTCGATGGAGAGTTCAGAGATCGCAGTTTTCACACCTACCCTCTGGTAATGACTAACGTAGCTATGGAAAATCACCCTTTTTAATGGGAAATTCCACTATTTCTATGACCATTTTCAATGGCTTTTTGTTAGTTTACCAGAGGGTACATGTTTCACAAATCGCGGTTCCAAGAATCTTCAGCCATGCCCACAGGTTTCGGTGTCGGTCGAATCTTTGACTTTCTGGTCTTGACATCCCAGCATCAACAGAACAGCAAATGTTGGGATGTTCTTTATTCTAATTACAAAATTCTTAGGTGCTTTTGAAACATATGATTCTCATATTATTCAATACATTTCAAGGAGTTACCATCAACATCCATCAATCATCAACCCAACTCTGGGCCAAGATACGCTTCCTCCCTCATCACTGCAGCACTCCGAGAGCGGAGCACCT